CTTGGCGTTTCGACTTGGTGCTTCTACAGAGGTAACCAGTCTCTGTATCAGCGTTTGGATTTGGTGCCACAGTAGGCGAAGACTGTCTTGGCGTTTCGACTTATTTTGCTATTACAGACCAGAAAACTGTTATAGCGTTTTTGAATTTTGTGCCACAGTAGGCAAAGACTGTCCTGGCGGTTGGATATGGTGCCACAGCGGGATCAGGCTGTCTCGGCGTTTAGATATAGGATTTTTGATTTTTGTTGTTTTATTTGGTGTTTTTAATTGTTTTTGGTTTCGTTTGGTAGTCTCCCTATTAGTCATCGGGGCGGTCTGTGCGTTCTCGAAGATTTTCGCATTTCGAACACGTCGCAAGAATACCGACAATACCCCCTCTAGCACCTCAACAAGAGGGCTGCACACATTAGAGGTGGCGTAAATCGGTTTCTCGCGACGTGTTACCCCTATATCTGATAGAAAATTGACGAGTTTTGATGAAAGATTTCTGCTTAAAAGTTGGTGTGTGCGCTTAGTTAGTATGATGTATGTGTAAGTATGTTATAATTTATTTTTCCTTGTCCAACGACGACGCAGTTAAATTTGCTATCTATTTAATCCCAGCGAATTATTATACAAACGATATGCGTGTCTATTTTTATCTTTCTCGTGCAGAAAAGATGTTGGATGATACTGACACTGATACGGAGAAGGGAGAAAGATGAAACATGGATAGAAACGTCATGCTTATTTCTCCGACTTTTTGTCGTGGTTTCATGCATGCTGCAACACGTGTTGTGGTGGGTCAAGGCATGTCAGGCGTGTCAAAGTAAAATAAAAAGGAATGGGTTGATGGACAGATGCAGGATAGCATAGCATGGTGTGTTATGGGTATGATAGTTATGTAGGTATATATGTATGCATGCATGTGTGTGTTCGTACCAGCGTCACCAGAGAAAACCGTCCAAGAGAGAAAAAAGAAAAAAAAAGATAAGAGAGTAAAATGTTGATTGAAAAGTGGGTAGAAAGAAGAGTAAGACTAGTAAAATAGAATTTATCAATATTTCAAAGGGTACATCTACTTAAGCCTGGCCGGCGTAGACCTTGCCAACAGGAGAAAGGCCAGTACCAACGTTAAGCTGGTTCTCGCCGGTGCCAACCATAAACCATGAGTAACCCGAGACCTTGTCGGAAGCATCAAGGTAGTCCATGCACTGCTTGAGGAAGGAAGCGGCCTGGTCCTGGGTAGCGGTGCCCGAGTTGAGACCAAACTCGGTGACAAAAACCTTCATGCCGTAGACCTCTGCGGCCTTCTCCACGTGGGCGGTGAAGCGGTCAATCGTCTTGTCGTCGTAGATGTCGTAGAAGTGGATGTTGACTGCGTCGACAATGGCGTCGGGGCAGCTCGAGTGGAAGCGGCTCAGCCAGTCGAGACCAAGCGGGGCCTGGCCGTTGGAGACGGAGGGGCCGATGATGGTCACGTCGGGGTGGGCCGACTTGATGGGGTTCATGTACGACTTCCAGGCCGTGCAGGCGGCTTCGGGGCTCAGGTTGCACTGCGAGGCAATGTCGCACTCGTTGAATCCCATGACGGCCGTGGTACCCTTCTTGACGGCCTTGTCGACGTTGGCGAGCCAGTCCTCGGGGGTAGAGTCGCTGGGCTTGTGCATCATGGGGACGAACATGGTGCCAATGTCGTTGTTCTCAACCTGGCCCCAGTTGTAACCGAAGCCAAAGTTGCTGCCCAGGGTGGAGCAGAGGGCAGCGTCGTTGTAAGCAAGACCACGCTTAGCGCCAGAGTAGCTGTTTCCAGGAGTGGGCTTGGGGGCAGCCGAGGAAGAGGGCGCCGTGCTGCTAGCCTTGGGCGTCTCCGAAGGGCTGTAGACGGGCGTCTCAGCAGGCTTGGAGGGAGCAGGCGCCGAGGGGACGGGCTTCTCGGCAGCGGGCTGAGATGGAGCAGGCTGGGAGGGGGCAGGCTTGGGAGTCTCGGCTGGGTACTGGACAACAGGAGTCTTGACGGGAATGTTGGCCGGGTATCCAGCAGGGGAAGACTTGGCGGGAGTCTCCTTGGGGGCAGGAGGAGAAGCGACTGGGTATCCGTTGCCGCCAGCAGGCTTCGAGGCAGCGGCAGCGGGAGAGGACGTGGGAGGAGCAGCAGCACCACCTCCAGGGGCTCCAGGAGTGATGGTGACGGTGACCTTTTGCTTCTCAGTCACGGTGACGACGCCGCCGCAGACGCTGGAGGAGGAGACATTGTCGACGTTGGCCTGGCCAGCACCGAGAGAGGGCTTGGCCGAGGGCTTGGCATGGATGGTCTCGTAGACAGTCGACGTGGTGGTGGACGTGGTGCGAATGGTAGTCGTCTTGTCGTCGGGGTAGACAGCGGTTCCCGAAGGAGTGGCAATCATGGAGGCGTTGTGGGCGCCACCCCAGCCGCCAGTCGGGTAGGCGGCAGCACGGTGGTGGAACTTCTGGTGCTGGAAGTGAGGGACGGCGGCCACGCTCGAGGCCAGGGCCAACAGGCTGGTGATCTTGATTGAGGAAGACATGTCGGGCGATGTTCGTACAGAGTTATCGTTGTTTTTTGCTTTGGAGGGAGGCGATGCGCGTATGCTTGCTTGTGGGTATCGTTGAGCAGTTAAGAGCAGATGCGGCTAACCTGAGCGCGAACAAGGATGGGGGCGGGGGGGGGGGGTCTAGCAATGAGC